TATGAAACTCAGGAATCCAGGTATCTACTTTTTATGAACACTTGCCAGGAAATCTTTTCCATTAAGAGCATATTTCTTGTGTTATATATAATATGATGCTCTTGGTGAGGATTTTCTGAGATCCTATAGGCTAACGCATTTTACTTTTAAGATTGAAAAAATATTTATAATGTACTTAATTTTTATTAATTTAATTAATCTCATAAATTTAATTTAATGTATTTAATATATAATGTATTATATATAATAAGATGCTCTGGATGAGGATTTTCTGAGATCCCATAGGCTATAGAACCGATAGGTTCACACATGTTATTCTTAAGATTGAAAAATATTTTGGGGGTGCCTGGGTGGCTCAGTCGGTTGAGTGTCTGACATTTGATTTCGGCTCAGGTCATGATCTCGCAGTTTGCGGTTTCAAGCTCCACGTCGGGCTCTGTGCTGACAGTGTGGAGCCTGCTTGAGTCTCTCTCTCTCTCTCTCTCTCTCTCTCTCTCGGTCTCTCTCTCTCTCCCTCCCTCCCTCCCTCCCTCTCTCAGTCTGTCCTTCCCCTGTTCATGCTCAAAATAAGAGAGAACTCAAAATTTAAAAAAAAGATGGAAGAATATTTTTAATAATACAAAAGACATAAAAACAGTTTAAATTCGGAAACGTCTATTGTGTCCAAAAGTGCCAACCTGTTTCTCCCTGTGCATTTAATTGTGCCAGTTTGGCACTTTTGCAAAAGACTAAAGAGCACTTGATTCTGCTGCCACTCCCCCCAGCCCATTCAGATTTTTATCTAACAGTCTATAAATAGTAAAATAGGAAGAAATACAAATAGCAACTGAAGGTTAAATTACATGGGGGCAAAAAAAAAAAAAAACAAAAAAAAACTGTAAAGGTTGAGTTCCACTTTAATCCCCAAAGAGGTAGAAGGTGAGATGTCCTTAGGCCAAATTCTTCTCTCCCAACTGCACTGTAGAAGCTGAGTCAGACACACTGAGCACAAGGAACTCCCACTGACGTCAGTGCACATTTGGAGAACAGGCTATTAAACCCACAGTCAGGAAGATAGCCCTACAGCAAAGCTGTGCCCTTGGACTTTGCCTTTGCAGGTTAATGTATCACTGCGTTTTCAGAAGCGTGGGCGGCCAGCTGGCTTCTGACATAGGGTACTGGGAATTGCCAAGTCTCAACTTTTGGGAAGGATATCTCTCCTGACCTATCAGAGCACACATGCTCCACAATTTACGGTGTCCTTGAATCTTGTTATTTCAAAGAAAGTGATTATCTAACCCAACTCTTAGAGGCTAGGCTTACATCATCCTATAGGTCTATTTTTTTAAATATGTTTCCCAGGGGTTCACTCACTCTTTAACAAATATTTATTGAAGGGCTTGCTATAAGAAAGATTCAGATGCAGGGAAAAGCAAACATAGGCATACATGGTTCAATCCTGCATGAAGTTTAGAGTCTAGCTGAAAGCCAGACAATCAATCAAGTCAATCACACTGGTGAATGTGTAATACCAAATAGGAATTAATAGACTCAGGAGGAAAAGAAGGTTCTTTACGAGTGAATAATAAGGGAAGCTGCACTAGCCTGAGAGGTTAGGTGTGAAGAGGGTAAGGAAGAGATCTCAGGCAACGGCCAGGACACAAGAGGGACAGAGAAAATGGAGAATAGAGGCAGCTTGGTGAGAGGCCAAGAGCTGGGCAGAGCCAGACCGGGGCGGGCGGGGGGGGGGGGGCTGCAGCATTTGATCCTTATCCTAAGAATAATAGGAGCTTCCAAAGGGTTCCAAGGTCAGAGTCGTATCTGATGTGGTCAGACGTGCCTTTTGGAAAGATGCCTCAACAGCTGTGTAAGGAAGAGAAGGGGAGGAAGTTGTCAGTCAGTAGAAAGACCAGGTAGGAGATTATTGTGGCGGTCCCCTCAAGACCCTGTGGTACTGTGGCCTGGGATGGTGGCAATGGAGGAAGAGGAGAGAAGATACTTCAGGGAAATGTGACTGGATGTAAGCATGAGAGAGAAGGAGATTTAGGGATGGTGCCTGACTCAGCCTCCACAGTGCAGTTTGGAGACAAAGATTTGATATGTAAGATACATAGATATGTTTGGAACATGCTCTCTGTTTACACAGCGTTGGACCACATCTAGTCGAACAGTGATGCAGGCATATTCCTTAAGTCACCCATTTAAATTAGAGTTACATGGCGGCACCTGGGTGGCTCAGTCGGTTAAGCGTCCGACTTTAGCTCAGGTCATGACTTTGCAGTTCATGAGTTCAAGCCCTGCTCTGGGCTCTTTGCTCCAGCTCGGAGCCTGGAGCCTGCTTCAGATTCTGTGTCTCCCTCTCTCTCTGCCCATCCCAATTGTGATCTCTCTCTCTCTCTTTCTCTCTCAAAAATAAACATTAAGGGGCGCCTGGGTAGCTCAGTCAGTTGGGCATCCGACTTCGGCTCAGGTCATGATCTCATGGTTCGTGGTTCGTGGGTTCGAGCCCCACATTGGGCTCTGTGCTGACAGCTCAGAGCCTGGAGCCTATTTCAGATTCTGTGTCTCCCTCTCTCTGACTTTCCCCTGTTCATGCTGTCTCTTTCTCTCAAAAATAAATAAAATGTTAAAAAAATAAGATAAACATTTAAAATTTTTGAAAAAAAATAAAGTAAATTAGAGTTACATGTATTGATGCAGACCAGTGTAAAAGTATAATGTTGAGCAAAACAAAACCAACTTCCAGAATATGTGTAGAATTATATTATTTGCATAAAGTTTTAAGATATGTAAAACAATACTATGAATTATTTATGAATTCATACATACATAGTTTCAGAATATGCAAATCAATGATAAACACCAAATTTAGGAGAAGGATTGCCATTGAAAGGGAGATAAAGGAATGGCTTTGGGAAGGGGTACTTGGGAACCTTCCATTGTATCTATAAATGTTATATATTTATTTTTTAAAACATCTGAGGCAAAACAGAGCAAAAATGTTAAGGTTGGACAAGGTGCTTAAAATTAAGATGAAGATTTCTAGCTGACGAAGACATTTTAAATTTGTTTAAAGTTCACAGTGTAGTGGGGAAATAATAAGTGATACAAGAGAAGCATTGATAAAAGATTATGAGACGACTGGAGAGGAAAAAATTAATTCTAGCGGGAGAATTACGTTGCTAACTTTATCATCAATAGAAACATGGGCAATGAATTCAATAAACATTAAGTGCCATCACGTTTGTTCTTAGAGGCACGGGTGTGACTATGCCACAGCGTGTAACATCAAGGCAGACACAGTCTAGAAAGCAAACAGACTTCACAGACACAACGAAGTGATCCCAGCCCAAGCTATGTTAGGCTTGAGTAAAAGGTTCTGAGATACCTATGTCTGCCTGGATACTGGGGAAAAGCTTCACAGAGCAGGAAATCTCTAAGAAATAGAAATGCATGGGAAGAGAGAAAAGCAAGGGCAAGAGCATGGAAGCCACAGAATACAGAAAGGCGTTAAGTTGTGAACACCCAGTGTGACTAAAACTGAGCCTTGAAAGGGACTGGTTTATGAATGGCTCAGCATGGAGTGCTAAATTCCTGCCTGTTCCCAATAAATATTTGTGGGCAGCAAGGAGGATTAAATCTGTATCTCAATCTTTGGACAAAAGGCAACCAATGGAAGTACTCCATCAAGAGAGTGGCAGGATATGATCAGTAGTGCTAAGAAGGGAAAGCTTGGTCGGAGTTGAGGAGAACGGGGGGTGGGGAAAGGCAGGAAGCTCCCACATTGGTGCAGGGGGAGAGCTCCTGTAGACCCGGAGTAAGACGTAGCAATGGAGAACGAGAGAGGCAAACGAGAGAAGATTCTCATATGAGAGCAATGTTGAAAGTCCAACTCCGGAGAACCGAATAACTTATAAGTTGTGGGAGGTGACAGAAAGGAAGAGGTAGCCAACACCCTCCCCCCACCCCCCAGCTGGCTGGTTAAATCAACTTCCTAAAGATATGCTTTTCATAAGATAAAACTGTATCTACTTTAAGTATATAGTTTGATAAGTTTTGACAAATGTATACACCCACAACCAAATGTAACCACAATCAAGACATAGAATATTTCCATCATCCAAAAAGTTGTCTCATGCCTTCTGAGGTCAGTAAACAACTTGCCCACCCTACCTGACCCAGGTAAGCACTTACATGCTTTCTGTCCCATCACATCAGCTTTTCTTTTCCTAGAATTTCATACAAATAGAATCATACAGTGTGCACTCTTTTCTGTATGGCAGATTTCATTCAGCATCATAGTTTTGAAATTCACATAGGATGCCGTCGATATTAGCAGCCTGTACCTTTGTTCTGCTGAGTATTATACTATTGTGCGGATGTACCGTGTTTTATCCATTCAGTCACCTATCGATGGATATTTGACTTGGCTTCAAGTTCAGACAACTACGAATACAATTGTTAGGAACAATTCTGTGAACGTCTTTGTGCAGATTGCTTTCATTTCTCATGGGGGAAATAGCTAGAGGTTGGCATTGCTAGATGACATGGTAAATGTAAACTTAACTTTATAGGAAACTGCCAAACACTTCTCCAAAGTTGTTATATCCTTTTATGACCCCACTAGCGATGCATATCGCTCCATATCCTTGCCAACGCTTGTATTGTCAACCTTTATTTTAGACATTTTTGTGGGTAGATAATGGTATCTGGTGGTTTTAATTTATCTGATATCTGGTGATGGTAAGCATCTTTTCATAGACAAATGCTTGTCCATTTGTATATATTCTATTCTGTGTCCGTTCAACATTTTGGCTATGAGTTTTTTACATATATTGAGAGACTGGAAAGATAGGGCAAGCGTCAACTGAGATAGGAGCAACCGGAAGTGGGGAGGGAACAGTTTTGAAACAGTGGAGAGGGAGGCAGGAGCAAGCACAGCTTTGAGCCCCTGGGGTTAAAGTACAGATAAAACAGTTAGGGTGAAATGCGGGAAAAATACCGGAAATCGCATTCTGGAGCCCAAGAGTGAGTGATCTGAAAACATGTTGAGTTTCAAGAAATAGAGACCCATTGGACAATGTCAAATATCACGAAAAGGTTAAGTAAAGACTGAAAAAAAATGAGCGTTTGGATTTCAGCCATGGTTTTTAAACGGTGAGTGACAATCCTTTAGAAATCTATTTAGTGGAGCTTTACCAGCTTTTTTTAAAAAAATGAGATAGAATGAAAAAGTATATTGCAGGCACTAAGGTTAAGTGTAGTTTCATGATACTTTTTTGTTATATGTGTGCATTACTCATTGGATAGAATGTAAGATATAATTTTTACTTTGGACTAGGACAAAAGAAAACCTTGGAAGAAGGAAGCTACAGATGTCCTTCCTAATGTTCTCATAGTATCTGGTAGTAGCCAAGGATATGGACTTAGTCATATCTGGGTTCATATGATTTCTTCCTATTTGTTAGATGCACAGTTTTGAATTAAGTACAGAAATTTTTTAATTCTCATTTTCCTTAACCCCAAAGTTGGTAACAAAGCTGATTTGTCCACACTGGAGCCCTCCACCCCTCCCTCAACACAGAAATCCTGGCTGGATTTCAGCCCCGGGCCTTTCTGCTGGGTTGCCTGGTGTGAGACCAACATGTGCACACATGTGAGAATTAAATGGGGTTATGCTTGTAAACCGCTGTGCCCGATGCCTGGAACGGGCACACTCTTTATAACCATGGGTTGCTGACATTAGATGAAGGAAATGAAGACAATGCGTGGGGGTTAAAGAGCTTGGTTGAAAAAATACAACCCAAATGTTTATTAACTAATGAGCCAAATGTGATGTACCCATGCAATGGACTATTACTCAGCCACAAAAAAGAATGGAGTGCTCATATGACTGGATGAACCCAGCTAAGTGAGAGAAGCTAGTCACAGGAAGCCACAGACTGAACAGGAAATATTCAGAAGAGGCAAATCCAGAGAGGCAACAAGTAGATTAGCGGTGGCCAGGGGCCAGGGGGAAGGGACAATAGGGAGTGACTGCTTCACGGATGTGGGGTTTCCTTTCAGGGTGATGAAAACGTGCTGGGACTCGACACCGGGGGTAGTTGCATGGTGAATGTACAAAATGTCGGTAAATTAGTCAGAGAGGCTAAAATGAGCAAATCAGAGAACTCTAGATGCTGGCGAGGATGTGGAGAAACGGGAACCCTCCTACACTGTTGGTGGGAATGTAAACTGGTACAGCCCCTCTGGAAAACAGTGTGGAGGTTCCTCAGGAAACTAACAATAGAACTCCCCTATGACCCAGCAATAGCACTGCTAGGAATTTACCCAAGGGATACAGAAATGCTGAGGCATAGGAGCACATGTACCCCAATGTTCATAGCAGCACTCTCCACAATAGCTAAAACATGGAAAGAGCCTAAGTGTCCATCAACAGATGAATGGATCAAGAAGATGTGGTATATCTATACCATGGAATACTACATGGCAATGAGAAACAATGAAATCTGGCCATGTGTAGCAACATGGATGGACCTTGAGGGTGTTATGCTGAGCGAAATAAGTCAGACAGAGAAGGACAAATATCATATGTTTGCACGTATAGAAGGACTAGGAGGAACTTAATGGAGGACCAATCGGGAGAAGAAGGGCGGAAATGGTGGGGGAAAGGGAGAGAGGCAAACCATGAGAGACTCTTGAATGCTGACAAAAACTGAGAATTGATGGATGTAGGGGGGAGGGGGGATGGGCATGGAGGAGGGCACTTGTGGGGATGAGCACTGGGTGTTATGTGGAAAATAATTTGACAATAAACTATTTGTAAAAAAAAAAAAGACATAATAAAAAATAAATAAATAAATAAATAAATAAATAAATAATAAAATAAAATAAAACAAAATGTCGGTAAATTATACACTTTTAAAAAGGTTAATTTTAGGGGCGGCTGGTGGCTCAGTCGGTTGAGTGTCCCACTCTTGATTTCAGCTCAGGTCATGATCCCCGGGTCAAGGGATCAAGCCCCATGTTAGGCTCTGTGCTGAGTGCGGAGCCTACTTAGGATTCTCTCTTTCTCTGTCCCTCTCCCCAACTCATCACATAAGTAAGTAAGTAAGTAAATAAATAAGGCTAATTTTATGTGTATTTTACCACATTTTTTTAAAAAGCCTTGTTCAACCTAGGGATGCTTCACAGCCCTTTCAGCATCTCCCCAACCCGTTCCCTGCCCATCCCCCCCCAATAAAAAACAGTTCAGTTGGAAGCATGATAGAAAGCATAGCTCAGGAAGACAGTAGGGCCGAGAGAAGGTTTGGGCAGAGGCGGGGGAGTGCAGAGGGGAACCAGAAACAGGGAAAGTAGATTGAGGAAAAAGAGAACAATTTCTCCAGTGCAGAAACCTTCTGTCCATTTCTCCCCATGGCACAAATTTCCGTGCAGCTTTGAAGGCTTCTTAAGGACCCATGTTACCTGCTGAGCAGCCTCCGGTGCCGACCAGGACAATCTCTCTGTCAGAAGGACCCTAGGCAGTGAGGGTGGCATGAGTGGATCCTTCCTGCCCTCATTAGATGCGGGGCATATATTGCTGGTGCTTCTAAGGGAGAGAGGAACAATTGGGCAGATAATTAATAATAATCCCCAGTGGCCACCTCTCTGACAGGTGTTTGGCCATGGCCCCGGGAGCTTGGAAGCTAAATAAATCTTTATTATAAACTGATTTATCAGTGAATGGGACTATTGGTATTAATAATTAGAGTCAATTTGCCATTATGCACACTATTGAGTGAAGCAACAATGTGTGTAATCTGGAGCACAAGGTGATTTTTTTAGTGCTTTGCATTGTGTTACAGGTATTTGACTCTCGTTCAATGTATTTACTTTCTTAATTATGTCTGACTAGAGAGCATTTGAAAATCATTTTGCATTCCTAGAAGCAGGCCTTCTAGCCAAGCCTTCTCCTGGCTACTTCCCTCTCCCAAACATGCTTGGCACTCCCCATTCTAAGAGCAAACACCAGTTTTTAAAAATTCTATAAACAAAGTCACTGAGAGCAGGGTACGTTAGAAGGATCATAGCAGGATTAATGATTCTCAGTCTATTTGCTATAAAACGTACTGGCAATATCTACCAGTCAATATTTAAATCTCCTTGTTAGTCATTCATTCAGTAAACAATTTTTGAAGGCCATGTAGCAGGTGCAGGAGATGCAGAAATAAATAAGATGTGATCATTGCTCTCAACAGACCACGTTAGAGTAGAGGGAACATACATAGAAACAAATATTTGCTCTCAAATATTAGAAATATAAGGAAAAAAGCAACCAATTCAGCCTGGGGTCGAGGCCTCCAATAAAGATGTACATGAGAGCTATCTAAAAATATTGCCCTCTGTACCCTGAAGGTTTCACACATGTAGATGCAACCCAATCAGAGATTAAAATTCACCTGTGCACCTCAGACTCTCTCTGTTTAAATTATTATGGATATTTTAATTTTTTCATTTATTACCACTAGTTTTATTGCATTATCCTTGGTGCTTTTATTGAACACATTCCAGCATCCTTCCATCAACCTGAAAGAATACGTTAAAAAGCTTACCTGCTTATGTAGTCCCAGCAAATATCTGAGGCCTGAAGTTTACACGTAAGTGTTTGGGGCCGTCTGCAAGAAGACTCATTACCACATGCAGACTCCAGCTGTGGGTGCATGCACACTCGTGTGTGGGGCTTCAGGCATCATGGGTGGCGTGCGACATTTGCCGCTCTCTGTCCATGCTCTACCTTGGGTAGTACGGTCTAGACACTTGACATCCAGAGCCTACTAGGACTTTGTTGGGACAGCAGGTGAGCATACATTCATTGCTCCCAGGTGTCTGGGTAGACATCATGGCGGGTTTGGTATTCCACACATTTTATTTATTCCCTCCGGCTGGGAAGAAGCCTCTTAAACACCATCCCCATGGATGAATAAGAAGGGAAAAAGCTGACCAAATCTGAGGGTTGGAATGGATCTTAAAGGTCATCTCAACTCATCTCACTTATTTGGTCATTTATTCATGCATCAACAGTTAATGAGCACCTATTGTATGTCAGGCACTGTGTATGGTGCTGGGAACAAAATGTAGTATGCAGTTCACTGATCTATGGTATTTACAGTCTAGCAGGGGAGAAGGGAAGGAAATAAGGAAACAGATAAATAAATGAGGTAATAACATGTTAGTGTAGGAGGTGGGGGGGGCAGGTGGCAGACGCCTTACAAAGAGTGGTAAAACCAACAAAGAGATTAGGGATTAGGAGATTAGATGTCACCAGAGTAAGGCTGGGAATTTGGGCTAAAGATGTGGAGAGACTAAAAATAAGAGTTCAGCTATCCCATGGTAGTCTATAAGCAGACTCAAAGAGGAGCCTGGGCCTGGAAAGAGGCATGATCTAGCTTTTGTGGGTCACAAAATTTGGGGGATTACCTAAATTTAGAGATTTAGGTAGCTAAAGCTGTTAGGGGCTAAATTGTACACCCTCCTCCCCCAGGATCCATATGTTTAAACCCTAACCCTCAGTAACCTCAGAATGGAATAGTATTTGGAGACAGGGCCTTTAAAGGCGTGATTCAGTTAAAATGAGGTCATCAGGGTGGGTCGTGATCCCATCGGCCTGGTGTCCCTCTGGGGACTAGGACACACAGAGACTGTGCATCTCAGGCTCTCTCTTTAAATTTTCACTGATATCAGGGATATCACACAAGGATGCCAGGGATGCCCACTCAGAAGAAGGGCCCTGTGAGGACACCCAAAGAAGGTGACCATCTGCAAGCCAAGGAGAGAGGTCTCAGGAGACACCAACACCTTGATCTTGGACTTCCGCCCTGCAAAACTGTGAGATGCATCTCTGTGTAAGCCACTCAGCCTCTGGTATCTTGTTACGGCAACCCAGGCTGACTGATACACCAGCCTAGTGTCATATCAGACGCTTATTAATAAACGGAATCACGGTGGGAGGGCATGTGGGTGGCTCAGTTGGTTAAGTGTCTTTTTTTTTTCGATTTTTTTTTTACATTTATTTATGTTTGAGAGACAGAGTGAGACACAGTGTGAGTGGGGGAGGGGCGGAGAGAGAAGAAGATACAGAATCCGAAGCAGACTCTAGGCTCGGAGCAAGCGTTCAGCACAGAGCCAGAGACAGGGCTCAAACCCACGAACTGTGAGATCATGACCTGAGCCGAAGTCGGACACTTAACTGACTGAGCCACACAGGCGCCCCCCCTTTTTTTTAACATTTTTTAAAAAATTATTTATTTTTGAGAGACAGAGTGAGACACAGCATGAGTAGGGGAGGGGCAGAGAGAGAAGGAGACACAGAGGTTGTGTCTGACTCTTGACTTCGGCTCAGGTCATGATCTCACAGTTCCTGAGACTGAGCCGCGCGTAGGGTTCTGCACTGACAGCACGGAGCCTACTTGGGATTCTCTGTCTCCCTCTTTCTCTCTTCCCCTTCCCTGCTCATGCTCTCTCTCTCTCTCTCAAAATAAATAAATAAATATTTAAAAAAATAAAATAAATGGAATCTTGGGTCTTGTGCTCCACTCCAGACTAACCAAATAAAACCTTGGGTGGAGAAGGGAATAGAAATCTGGATTTGAAACAAGTGCCTCTCCGGACAATAATAATAAATAGTAACGATTCTCCTCCACACTGAAGCTGGAGAACTACTAGCATGTAGACCCACTGGTTCACTGAATGGATGAGAAAACCGGAATCCCCACCAAACAAGGGAGAGCAGCACGTGACACAGGATCTACATGCTGGTCTCCCAAGACTGAGCTTGCTGCCCTGTCCACGGCACCAGCAGGGGCCTGGGAAATGTGGTGTCGGAGGTCAAATCTAGACTCAGAACAGAGATGTCCCGGCAATGGCGATTAGGCTCCAATAATCTGTCTCGCTGGAGTTCAGATTGCCCGCGTCTGAATGTGGTGTAAGGAGGGCAAAGAATTCCTTATCTCTCCGCCCTTTGCTGAGACAGCCCAGTCACGTGGGCTCTTGAATATTCTGTAACGAGGTTCCGAGGTTCTGTTCTAGCCTCTAAACCATTCCTACTGTGGGTGAAAACTATTTCTTATTCTACCTGGCAAAGAAAAACTATTGTTTATGATAACCCCCATTTAATTAAAGGTATGAGTGATACATTCCCAATTTTTTTCCTCAAGCCAACAACCATCTTTTTCGGGCCTTGAAGCAAAGCCCATTGCTTTACCCTTTTATCTCTTTGTTTGTTTTTAGCATTTTCCAAATTCTTCCTCTAGTGTGGGACCCCAAACTAGCTATAATAAAAATGTGATATATTATTATTAAATGACCATATATTACATATATGACCAAACAAAGGATTATTCCTTTCTTCCCCTCCTCCCGTCTAGGTTGAGTTTCTGTGGTCAAAAAAAAATCTGTAAGAACAAAAAAGACCTCAAGCACCTCGTCACAGAAAATCTGTCATGCAGAATGTTAGCTTCTGAGAAACGCAGACACATTGCGTCAGTGTTAACACATAATCACCAGCTTGGGCTGACCCGGCATCTCGCGGCCCTCTTTGGTTCTTCAGATGCCGTGCTCAGTTTCCATCGTCTGATCGCCTTGTCCCTTACCTCAATTGTGTTTGCATCACCTTTCATTATAAAGCACTTTCTTTTTTCTTTTAAATAATGGGAATTGTTGTCATGGAAAAAACCTCAGTTCTGCTTTTAGCTGTAGCAGGGGCTCGTGGACAGGGAGGAAGGGATCTTTAGGGACAGGAATAGATCCCAGGCACATTAAAGTAACTATGTAAATAAGCAAGCGTCTGAATGAGATCAGGCTGGGTCTATATTTAATGATTTACCAAAACATAACTGGATGCTGTCACTCTCTTGCTCAAATACACACACACAGTCACACACACATACACACACACACCACATGCAAAGTTTAACATGGATCTTGGCATGGCTAGGTATTAAATACATGGTAGCAATTAAATATGGGAAGACAGAAAGGGAGGTGAGGGGGAAGGGGAACATTTTCCAGACAGCCAGACCATGCTTTCGAGGATAATGAAAGAATTTGTTAATGGACGTGTCTGTGAGAGAGAAAATGCTTGATTAGGGGTATTTTCAGGGGCTCTAAGCTGTACGAGACTTGAGGAATGCACCACCAAAATCCTACATCCTTAGGATCAGGAAAGCTAGTAGCTAATATCATCAGTCAGTCAGTCCATCAAGCATCAGTTCTGTTCACCAAGAGCCACCCGGCTGGATCTAGCATCTCAGAGCGGGAAGGTGCATCCAGTAATCCACCCAGATGCAGTAGCAGTACTACCTCATAAGACTGTCGTCAGAATCAGTGGGTTAATATTTGCAAAGCACTTGGAAGAGTGTCTGATATGTAATAAGGCCTTCGTGAGTGTCAGTTAAGTGCCATTTGTTGAGTGCTCTCTAAGTGTGGGCACAAACCAAGGTACCGCAGGTACTTCTCAACATGTAACTCTCTCCTGGACCCTTACTCCATTTCACACATGAGGGAGCTCAGCAAGATGAAATGACTTGCCCAATGCATACAGTTAGTATGTGGTGTCGCTGGGATCCAAACTCAGTTTGATTTCAAAATCCATGGTGCTCATGCTGCTAACTGTGACATTCCAGTGCCCATGACAAGGAGCCTCCCCAGGCCCGCACACTTTCACAGACAGAGAATTCATCCTTGTAAGAGTGGTCCATTCTAGGGGTGCCTGGGTGGCTTAGTCAGTTGAGGGTCTGACTCTAGATTTTGGCTCAGGTCATGATCCAGGGTCATGAGATAGAGCTTGCATTGGGTTCCATGCTCAATGCAGAACCTACTTAAGATTCTCTCTCTTTCTCGTTCTCTCTGTCTCTCTCTCCTCCTGCCACCTCCCTCTCCCTCCCTCTATCCCCTGCCCTGCTCACATGTACTCTCTCTCAAAAAAAAAAAAAAGAGTAGCCCATTCTACAGATGGAAACAAGCTTCATAAAAAGTCTTCTTTATATTGAGCTGAAATTTACCTCAGGTGGGATCTTCTCCTAGGGCTACACAGAGTGAGTATTTGCTTTTCCCCTCCACAGGCCATCAGATACTTGCAAATGCTATCAAAAGAGTTCACAAACCCGAAGCCTGGAAATCACTCTTCAAATCAACGTTTGAGATTCTCCCATGTGTACCTGTGACTAACCGTGGGTTGGGTCAAAATGGAAGAGAAGGGTTTCAATGCCAGGCCACTGTGCACTTTAGCTTTTGCTTTCCTCACACCCGGGGGCCCTTCTCCAGATGGTTAGACTGCAGCAGGGACTGGCAATTGTTGCTCTGGTGTGATGAGGCAGACAGAGGGGGACCCCAGAGGACACGGTTTCCTGCCAGGATTCATCTGCCAGAAAGATAAGCTTTCATTATGACGAGCTGTAGGCTTCACAAAGGATGGGCTTTGCTATCACGTTGGTGTCCAGTAGGGGTCGACAGAGAGACCTCTGACAGGAGGCAGTGGCCAGTATTGGAGAACACTCAGTGAGAGAATGAACGCATGCTGGCCGCCAGTGGGATCTTGGTTACACACCAGAGCTCTGGAGACTAACACCCTGCATCCTGAACCCAGCTCTGGCACCCAAATAACCACTGACTTCAGGTATCTCTGCCTCCCCGCCTTCCCCCTACCCTCCTCTGCATAAGGATGGTGGTACTAATGGTTCCTACTCTCTACAGTGGTTTTTAAGGATTTACTGAGATAACCACATCAGGTGTTTAGAAAAGCAGCTGGCATTCCCCAAGTGCTCAGTTAGCAGTAGTTGTTACTACTTCAAAGTTTCATATAGATATAATGTTCAGAGACACTCGGAGCACATGTGACGAGCCCCATTTGAAAGCTTAAGAAACTGAGGTTTAGAAAATGAAGTGGCGTGGCTGAAGATACGGAGGTATAAACTGAGGAGTGCCTTAATGGAGAAAGCTAGCAGACCCAGCACATCGGCCCTGCCAAGTCGAGGGCTGAGGTGCGGAGAAGATGGAGGAGATAGAAAGGGAAGGGAAGGGGCAAGAGGGAGGAACCCAATCCCGGCAAGGAAACAGGGAGCTCAGTGAATAAGCGGCCAAAGGAAAGCCTGACTGAAAGAAGAAGGCATGTTCACTGGTACGTGAAACCATAACAAAAGGGCTACCCGGAGGGTAAGCTGGGCAGATGACCAGTAACTTGTGCCAGGAAGAAAGCCCTCCAAAGCCTCCACTCTCCTAACTCCTTCATCCTGGTGGAGAAGTAGTCCCCATCAATCCAGTGTGTGGGCCCCAAAGACCCCTGCCCCCAGTTACAGTGCGGGGCTGTCCGAGAGTCCTCCAATGAAGTGCTGAAGGGGATCTAAACATGCCATCCCAAAACAATCTACCTTAGCATAAGGAGTATTTTGAACGGAAGGTAATTAAGAAGCAGCAATCACAGAAGGAGCTCTGTGCCCTCCCCTATCTACCGAAAAGCTGATCAACATTTCCCGTTGTGAAGGCGTTCTCGCTCCTGTCTCCCATACCAGGAGAACCATCCTTCTGACTGGAGACACAAAGACAGCACCAAGGTGAGTCTGCACAAATCTTACTAAACTAATCCTTATTGGGGCGCCTGGGTGGCTCAGTTGGTTGAGCATATGACTTTGGCTCAGGTCATGATCTCACCATTCGTGGGTTCGAGCCCCACATCAGGCTTTGCACTGACAGCACAGAGCCTTCTTCGGACCCTCTATCTTCCCCTCTCTCTCTGCCTCTCCTCCACTCATGCTAGCTCTCTCTTAAAAATAAACATTAAAAAATTTTTAAATAAAAATAACAAATAAATAAAAATAAAAGAATACTTATCTTCCATTGTATTTGATCTTATATTTACCTTCCCTCAATTTACTGCCCCCAATAGTCCTTTTCCTTTGTCTTGTTTCTTCTCTTCAAATGTATTATCCTTGTTAAAATGGCATTTAAGCCCCCAGCTC